CCAGCTAATTTTTTCTATATATACTTTTAGTTGTCCAGCTAATTTCTATTTTTTTTTTTTCTTAGTAGAGATGGGGTCTTGCTCTTGCTTAGGCTAGTCTCAAACTCCTGAGCTTAAACGATCCGCCCACCTCCGGCCTCCCAGAGTGCTAGGATTACAGGTGTGAGCCACCACGCCCGGCCCACCTATGGCCTTTTTAAAGAACATCTCTTTACAGTAATTATAAACTTTATGCCAAAAGGCTTAAAGAGCCTAAATAACTAAATTTTTTAAACAGGAAAATCAAATTCAAACCCATTACTGTAACACAAACCCCTGCTCCCTTGTGGCTGCTGACATCATGATCACATAACAGGAGAAACCCAAGCCTCAGGGTTAATCTACATATAATGTACTATAAGGTCACACAGAGGATTTAGGGATATGTGAGTAAATAGAAGCAATTAAGGGAGGAAGCCTAAGTATATACATAAGATTGAACAGAAAAAATATATTCGAAAAAAAATTTAAGGAAAACGTACCTTAAAAGAAAAGAAAGTTGGTTAACCAATATGCACCCATAGGAAATACAGTATTTGGAGAACTTTAAAATTTAAAAACATGTAGAAAAAGTTACCATATAAAAATATGCAAGGGCACACTTGGCCGCCCAATAGATGGAACCAGTCTTTACTGCCTTGATCCACATGTAGTAGGTGAGTAACATGCAAAAGATGGCAATCCCTGCAGAAAGAACACATCAAAACTTCAAGAAGATGCCATGCTGGCATAGTGGTAAAGAAAACTGTTCTGGAACAGATCAACTGGATTCATAACTCAGATCCACTACCTAGTAATAGTGTCATTTTAGGCAAATTATTTATCTCCCTTTGTCTCAGTGTCCTGTAAAAAGGAGTCTGTAAATAGTATCTACATTATAAAGCTATTGTGAAGACAAATATAATTAATGCAAGGAAAACAGAACAGTATCTAGCATATAGTAAACATTCAGTAAATGTTGGCCACTATTCTTTCCAGGCACTGGAAGAGACTGCTAGTGTAGTCCTAAAGACACCCTATACTGTCATACAGCATCCTGCCTCTAAATCTTAAATTGGTCTTAACGCCCCTCCCCCTAATATCTACCTAATGAAAGACCAAGTTTAACCTCAACCACTTCCCAAAACCTTTCCTTGATTCCAAATCTCAATTAATCTCTTTTTGCACTACATTTTCTAAGTATTCTGTTCATATTTCTATCATAGCACATTGTACTATCTGCCTATCATTGGAATTATTTTTATAGGTCCATTTTAATCTTCCTTAATAGATTATAGGCAAATATAATCTTATTCATTACCTATCTCTTTAATTTTTAAATTGTGCACCAAAATAATTTTACTCATTATCTATCTTTATATTGTTTAACACTATATTTTCCAAATAACATTCAATAAATATATGTTTAATTGAAAATAAGTTAATAAAAGTCATTACAATTTTAAGGACATCTATTCCCTTATTTAGGAAAATAACACAAATGATTATAATGTTAAAACAATAGTTAACTCTGTGAGTCCACAGATGAACCAAAGGCTTGTAAGAAAAGCTGCAAGCTACCTTTCCAGAGGGGATGATGGGAAGAGAATATGAACTTGTCTGAGATCCCATCTTGCCCTTCTCACTCAGATACCATTTTTATTATTGCTAAACAACAAATCTGAACCCAGATACCCCTGCATTTTATAAAGCTCCGTTGGATAATGAGGTCAACAGATCCCCTTCAGCATTTTATGAAGTCAGTGACCATTTGTAGTAAGTGATCAGTAAAGAAATACTTGCTGACAATCTGAATAAGGGTTCCACTTTCATGAGAATTTTACAGGAGAAATCAAACACACCACATTATTCACCGATTTAACATTTGTCTGTTAACCTTACGGAGTAATGTGGTTAAAGGTTTCTGCTTTACTTCCTGAAGAACTTAGGATTAGCTACCATTAAGAAGGTAAGGATTCACTGTTATTAAATGGGGTCATTTGCATTTAAAAAGGACTGGAAATTTTAACTCACATCAACAACTCACATCAACTCAGCTCAACCAAAATATCCCTCCCTCTTCCACAAGCATAAGCTAAAGTATCAGCCATTAAATTCAAACTTCATGGAGCAAATGTTAACATACTCCTGGAAGCCAACTTTAATGACCAATGATTCTGATGCTTCAGTTAACACGAGCAGTCCAATATCAAAGCTGTGAATAAGTCTTACGTGACTTGGACCAAAATCAAATTAGCCCGAGAAGTGGAAGTGAGGAATTGGAGGAAGAGGAAAACGTGGCATGCCAACTAAATAGCCATGTTTCAGTTCCCATGGGATTAGACGAGTGCCATGTTGTAGGGTACGGCAAGCAATACAAAGATTTCTCCTACCTAATCAACAGGAAAGAAAAGGAAAAAAAAGAAAAAGAGAAGAAGAATTTGCAAGGTAAGATAGTTCTTTCACCAGGTATGATTAAAAGCTGCTCTAATAACGCATTCCGTACTATGTGAATCCAAACACTGGGTTGACAAGTAGACTGAATTTAAAAAGTTGGACTTTATATGCTTGAAAGGAAAAGAGAAATAAGAGGAAAACAATCTTATGCGGTCAGGAAATACCCTGTATTTTTGAAGTTTATTCTATGTCTGTACCCATCTGCATTTAATACTAAAATCTGTGAGCTTTCCATACCTGTTAGCATGAGAAGAGCTCCCACGGTGAGAAGGACAAAGCCTACCAGGGATATGACACTCCGGAAAAGAACTTCAAACTGCTGAGGATTCAACTTGCTTCGCAGGTAATCCACAAAGGCGTGGATCTGGCAGAGGCCAAAGACCCCAAAGGCTGCCATGTGCTCTGATGAAAGGACGGGCTGTAGGTGAAAGCGTATGTATAGTAATAATATTAGGGAAAAAAATGAGTGAGTCCAGCCCAGACCTGTACTATCCTGATCTAGTTCAGACCAAAGGGTCAAATGAGTTCTGAGATCCCCAAAGGAATCAAGGCCAATCTAGGGGAGGGTTTAATTCACCTGCCACATTTTCCGAAGAATACCTGGAGGTCCCCCAAAGCATACCATACACTATCATCATCACATCTCTGGGTTTTGCTCAGCCTACTTCCTTAGCCTGGACTGTAATTTTCTCCAAATTCCACTCACTGAAATTCTCATCATTCAAGGCCCAAGGCAAATATCATCTCCTCCTAATCTGCCAATCTGAAATCAATCATTTCCCTCTTTGTTCCACAGCACTTTATTTTATTTTTTCTTTAAAGATAGGATCTTGCTATGTTGCCCAGGCAAGATTCGAACTCCCGGACTCAAGAGATCCTCCTGCCTCCACAGTACTTTAGATCTCTTCTAGCACTTAATCATTCTTTGCCTAGCGCATTAAATGATATGTGAGTTGTATTTAACTCACGCTAGTTTTGCCCCTGGGGCCTCGTGAAGCATATGTAACTCACACATCTCTACTTCGGGAGCCGCGTGAAGTATTTTTCAAGTTGCACATAACTTATGCACAGAAAACAAGAAAAAATAGCAAAGTTTTCATTAAATTAGAAAGGATCATTTTGCTTTCAAAGTTGTTATTCTATTTTTGTAATAAAGTTTTTGAAGTTTTGCTTTCAAAGTTTTTATTCTATTTTTGTTATAAAGTTTTTGAAGTTTTGTTTTTGAAGTTTTTATTTTATTTGCTTGGGGCCACACCCAAGGAAAACATTTTTTTTCTAGTGTGGCAGTCAATGTGCTAGACCAGTGGTTCTCAAACTTTAGTAGGCATGACAATCGCCAAGGGGGTGGGAGTGGAAATACAGATTGCTGAGCCTCACCCCCAGAATGTCTGACTAAGTTGGTCTCAGATGGGGCTCCAGAATTTGCATTTCTAACAAGTTCCCAGATGCTGGTGATGCTACTGGTCCAGGAACTACACTTGTAGAACCACTATACTATAAGCTATAGACAGCTGCATGTATTTCTTTCAGCCCAACAACACTGAAATATCCTTAAGGACCAGGACCATATTTTTACTCTTTTTATATTTCCCAGTGATTAGCAAATTGTATATACAAATGCTCCTTGATTTATGATGGGGTTATGTCCCAATAAACCCATTATAAGTTGTACTTATCATAAGTACAAAATACATTTAATACACCTAGCCTATTGAACATCATAGTTTAGCCTAGACTACCTTAAATGTGCTCAGAACACTTATATTAGCCTACAGTTGGGCAAAAATCATCTAACATAAAGCCTAATAAAGTGTTGAATATCTCATATAACTTATTGAATACTGTATTGAAAGTGAAAAGCAGAATATTTACATGGGTACTTGAAGTACACAGTTTCTATTGAATGCATATCACTTTCACATCGTTGTAAAGTCAAAATACTGTATTAATAAGTTGCACCATTGGAAGTCAGTGACCATTTGTAGTAAGTGATCAGTAAAGAAATACTTGCTGACAATCTGAATAAGGGTTCCACTTTCATGAGAATTTTACAGGAGAAATCAAACACACCACATTATTCACCGATTTAACATTTGTCTGTTAACCTTACGGAGTAATGTGGTTAAAGGTTTCTGCTTTACTTCCTGAAGAACTTAGGATTAGCTACCATTAAGAAGGTAAGGATTCACTGTTATTAAATGGG